AAAATCGGTCGGTATTTTATGCATCAAATGCATAAAATACAAATATTTAATGCGTAATAACGCGCCTTATTATATTTAATCTACATAACCATATGTATGCTAATTAAATTATCATGAATTAAATGTAGTATCAGTGAATGCGTATGAAAATAGAATATTATACCTCGTTACGAACCACACGATAAGTACAAGAATCTGAGTTTCTATAGCCGGCAGCGCTCGTAGCAGAGTGGGTAAGGTACAGGACTGATGTGCAGGAGGTCGAGGGTTCAAATCTCTTTGTTGGAAATTTTTTTTTTTTTTTTTTTTTTAGAATTGGAAAGGAAAAAAATTCAAATTTGTTTAAAAATCAATTTCTTGGGAGTGTGAGGGGGAATGGTGGGTAAAGGTGTGCAAAAGAGTAACACGGCACGGTTGGCAGATATACATATATAGTGGGGAGAGTGGAAGTGTATAGAGAACAGTTGGTGAGGGGGACGGGGTAAGGGGGGAAACTGGAGAGGAAGAGACTCTGGGTAAACCACTTTCGTTTCGAAAAAAAAAAATCTGTCGGTTTTAAAATTCCAGCCCCTCGAGTAACGCGACATAAAGAACTTCGTTCTAAAAAATTCGTGTCGTCGCTTGCTTTAGCTGTGCGCTCAGCTATAGCTTTTTTAGAGCGAAGTTCTTTATGTCGCGTTACTCGGGGGGCTGGAATTTTAAAACCGACAGATTTTTTTTTTTTTAAACGAAAGTGGTTTCACCCAAAGTCTCTTCCTCCCCCCTTACCCCGTCCCCCTCACCGACTGTTCTCTAAACACTTCCCCTCTCTCCACTATATATGTATATCTGCCAACCATGCCGTGTTACTTTTCTGCACACCTTTATCCACCATTCCCCCTCACACTCCCAAGCAATTTTATTTTCCCACAATAATTTTTATTTCACTTTAAATTTTTTCTTTCCCCTCTCCCCACTATATATGTATATCTGCCAACCATACCGTGTTACTCTTCTACACACCTTTGCCCACCATTCCCCCTCACACTCCTAATTAATTTTATTTTCTCACAATAATTTTTATTCCACTTTGAATTTTTTTCTTTTTAGTACAATTCTTAAAAAAA